TATTTAGACTTATAATATTTTAGATACTTAAACAAAATGTTCAGACATATTTTTTTACATATTCTATCTATATGTACATATATATATATATATACTCACATATACGTAACACATTTTAAGTTTAATTATTTTTAAACATGTTTTCTTTACAGAATAGTTTAAAAAATCTTACATGCACATCTATACTTATATAAAAAGACATTCTATTTACTAGAACTAGTGTGCATCCCGTGCGATGCACGGACGGGCTTGTTACTTAAAAATCTTTTTTAAAATTTTATCTTAAATATAACTATTTATATTTAACATTACGTTGCAAGAAAAAAAAAATAGATAATATACAAAAATCATATATTTATTTATTTGGATATAATGAGTCTCCACAACCAAATCAATAACATCTAACGCGGGCTATATGATAAATGCACCGTCATGATTTTAACTGATATAAACTGTTTGTTTTTTCAAACATTTTTATTTCATTTATTGTACATGTAGTACGAATTTTCTTAAATGTAAAATTCCTATATTTAAAAAAAAAAGAAGATATGTGACATTAATGTGATTATTGTAATCAATTAGTAAAAAATTGAGATAAACAAATTTATAAATAATTTATAAAATAAAAGTTGATTTGTAAGATAAAAAATTGAGATAAACAAATTGTTAAACAAATTTTGTTCAATTAAGCTGTGGAGTAGATTTTTCCTTTAAAAAAATGATTGGTAAGATGAGAAATAGAGATGAACACAAATTAGTAAGAGAAACATGGACACAAATTGATTTTCCAAACTTAAAAATATACAAATTTTCGAACGTATAAATAAAGTGATGTGGGAGTAACCAACAGATTTTTGCGCGAGATTTTTATATGTTAATCTTTATTGTTTTAAGTAAATTTTTATTCTTATTATATATTAATAGATTATTTTTGTTAAGTAAATCAATATTCTTATTAAATATTAATAGATTACAATTCAAAACGGATAAAGAAACTAAGTCCATATTTAAATTGTCTCTATCTTCCAACTTCAGAACAAAATGCCACGAAACTACAACTGCTTTCTCTCACCCAAAAATTTCTACCGGAAAATTTGGATCGTTTTCTTCACGCACTATCGTTCTGGATGTAAAAAAAAATTCAAAAAATAACGGCAATTTCATGGATCAAGATTTGTCACGCTCCAGTCCTCCCGTCGGTGTCCGACCAACATGATGTTGCGCCTTGGCCACGTGTCCAGTTCGGCCAGCAACTTGGTCGGCGTTCAACCATGTCCGACCAAGTCTGAAAGCTCCATCTTGTATTCCATTCAGCTCGCTCAAAAAATACACACAATCTGTCGAACAAAGTTTCAACACTCAATTTCCTATAAAAGAACCATAAAAATATTATTTAATTGTTTTTAAATTCACCTGCTGCCCATGGTTTGACATAAAGCCAGTAGCCGATAATTCTTTCATATTTGCATAAACTAAAGGATACCTAAAAGGTGACCGGTGATAAACCAGTTCACAAAAACTTTGAAAATGATTTACATAATTTTTTCACTGTTAAACATTGAAAAAGAATATCTCAATAATAATAAGAACTTTAGACACTGGATACCCAGTTCGACCAAGCATCCAAGACTGCTTGGTCTTGGATCCAATTAGGCTTTACATTTCGTGGACTGCCTGACAAAAGGGGATAGAGCTTATTTAAAAAGATCGTGTTACTTAAAAGTGTCAGGTGATTAATATCAGGTCATTTACCTGAGTGAAAAATAGAATTTCCTTGCTTGATGGATAGAAACCTGAAGTAGTCCCTCCATATAAGTTCAACAACACACTGGAGGAAAGAACAAAAAATAGAAGAAAAAAGTTTACACTAACAGCATATTTTACAGAAAGTTATCAGACTATCTAATTCACAATTATAAGAGTATAAGAGGAACACCTTTTTACCAATGTTCTAAATAGGGGATGAGACAATACGAACCAATAGGTAGAGTCATTTTCTTCTCTCAACTTTTCATATCTTTTCACCTAAATAAGTTAAAATTTTATCAGCATCAGAGTTTCATAAACAAATCATGTTTTTTAATGTGGTACCATTCAGCTCGCCAGGCTATATCTATTCAGGCGACCTTCAATATGAAAGGGCCAGCACGATGTTGCCGAGTCCATCCGCCTTCAGCAGTCTTGCACCAGAATTTCGGTCAGGCCCTCTAAACCACCAGCCCGGCCGCAAGCATCCAACAGCCATGAAAACCGGTCAGCACCGTCGTGCGGCCGTCGAGAAGAAGTCGGCTAGCTTGCTTCATTCGCGACCAACCCTCTCCTGCCATCCACAACTTTTTGAAGGAAGGAGAAAAATCAGAGATTACATAAATGTAAAGATACAGTTCTAAAGAAAAAGGCAGAAAAACAGAGCAAAAATTAAACTAAAAAACCAGAGAAAATCAAAAGTTACAGGGCGAGACCGGTGAATAAGCAGACCACAGGTTAATCCTCGTGACGAACTCAATATCTAAATTGACGTCTTGACTACTCTCGCGCAGGCCGCCGGAGCCGTCGAGGTGGTGCCGAAAGTTGTCGACTGCTTATCGAGCGCAACGTGGCGGGGTAAGGGGGCACGTTGGAGCCACTCCCGTCGCTAGCCATTGAGCTGATGGTGGAGAGTCCACCGGCAGCGCGCCACGAGAGGAGGGCAAGGGGGAGTCGCGGTGGGGGTTAAGGCTTATGGGGAGGATAGGAAAGAATCACAAAATCCCGAATTAAACAGGAATTTTGGTTAGATAAATAAGCAAGATTTTATTTTCAAATTTCAAAAAAATTCAAACGGAATTGAAATCGGATGATATGTTTATCCACTTAAATCAGAGAAAAAAAAGTCCAAATGGTATGCATATTCAGATAATGATATATTTATTCCATATTAAGACTCCTACAAAATCGTATCAATTTGTTAAGGAATGTCGATCACTTTTGTGATGAAGATAATGTTGCAAAAAAAAAAGGAGATTGTTATTATTGAATTTGGTAAGTAATTTACGATTACGATTACGATCATAATAATTCTAGGAAATTATGTACAACTTTGTGAACAAATATTTTCCTTCAAAGTCGTATCAATCTGGTAAGGAATGTCGATCAATTATCGTTGAAAGTTTGTATCAATTATGAAATTTGAGAAGAAATAAGATCCCACAAAATCCGGTAATATTTTTTAACAAAATTAGAAATGGTGATCCCCCAAAATCCGATAAAATTTGGTAACAAATTTCCAAAATGCAAGGATGGATGGATCAATTAGTTACGTGTTTATGTTATTCACTACTCATTAATTTTATGTTAATTAATTAAACCGTGTGGGACCTACATATTGTTTAACAAATTTCCAAAATGCAAGGATGGATGGATCAATTAGTTATGTTATCTATGTTATTCATTAATCATTAATTTTATGTTAATTAATTAAATGTGTGGGACCTACATGGTTATTTCTTAATGTAGTAATAATTACTTAAAGTAGTAAGTCAACACTTTATTTTTTTAAGTCAAACATACTATTTTTGTATTTTTCCAACAACCT